AAATTATAGTAATTTGCGACTTTAAATACTACCGAAAAATCTTAAGGGATACCACTAGTAATATTTTAAAAACGTGACTTGGATATTGAAATTCAGCCTTCATAATTTAAATTCGGCACAGGTAGCAAAAAAATTGATAAATAAATACAATAAAGGTGTAACAATTATTCATATTTTTAAGGAACCGTATTTTTATAATTGATTCATTGGAAAATTACAACGCTAAGTAATACCAAATTTTAGTTACGTTAATATTTACGGTCCCTTTACATTGTAAAAAATTAATATTGTTAGGGAATGCATTTATGATCATTCTGGATATCCCCTGCATACAATTTTCTAAAATAAAAATTAAGCCATCTGTTTATAACCAATATACGGAAGAATTCTCTTCTGCACTAGGGGCCAAACTTCGCTATGTTATACTTTTAAACGCGGCACTTCAAGCCCTGTCTTCATGATGGAATATCTCACGGCATTTTGCATCTTTCTCGACCGTGCCGTCAATGTCGCAGGAACGCGACCGTACCAAGCAGTGCTTGATACGGTCGCGTTCATGCGACATCTAGTGACACGACCAAGAAACACGCCAATTGCCATGAGATATTCCTTCGTCATGATGAACCATGACGCGCCACGTTGTTAAAACCGAAGTATAGCACTTTTTACATCCGATGAAGAGGCACATGGATCCAAATCTTTCATACATTTAATTTTTATAAAGAAGAACCTTAACCAGCATAGCTTAAGTCATGAAAATATTTACTTCGAAACATTTTCGAAATGAAAAGGCAGTGACTTGATATGTCTAATAAAGTTAAGGTTTTCCAAGGAGGCTTTTAATGTTCCTTTGTCTTTGCTATATTGAATTAGAAATCTTCATGTTTTTGTGCAAATTTGTAAGTGGTATAGTTCACAAAGGTTTTCACAAAGTTCAATAATACATGCTTCTGCAGGGCTATGTAAGTTCTTTGTCTTGCACATTTTACGGTGGAAACCACAGTGTAAGAAATATCTTGTCTGTCTTACACCGCGATGGAAATCATGAATCGCGAATCGAGTCAATATACGAGTCCGTGTATGTCCCGTCAAAAAACTTTAATAAGACCATATTTGTTACCTTCACAACTTGGTATAATCAAAATCTTGGTATAATAAAAATTAATACAATTTTCAAGAGAGCCTTTCAACTCTGAAAATTAACTTTAAAGTGCTATACCTTTTGGATCATTAGACAATTAAACTAATACCAGTTTTTACAACTACAGTAAATTAAACTACATGTTTGCATAGCTGTGTAATATGGTAAAGGCTTTAAATGAATTTTCCTAGTTTAGTTTAAAAAGATCCTGTTCGTACATCCCCTTCACAAAACCAATGTGACGATAAATCAGTCCCATCACATATCCCTCCAAATACAAACCATTACATAATAATTTGAATGAACATGTATATATGTATAATATGTACATGTATAATATTTCAGAAAAAACAATTAGAAAAGTTTGTACACTATATATATTCTTAGATAAACAACTTTTGCATTAGATTAGCTGTATAATAAAATATACATGGAATCTCCATTTCAGTGTGTGAGGAATGAGAACATACATTTCATGCTAATATTTATCAATGTTCATACATGAATTGAAGATGATTCTGTTTGAACTAGGAACTTTATATTAATTCTCTAGTTCAAACAAGATTGTTTTTGAGCAATTTGCATGTCTTTTTAGGTGATTCTAGTTGTAAAGCCCCTTACGAAGGTGTGCACCTCCAGGATAAAAAGAATCAAAGTTTACCTTCATAAAAGCAAAAATAGCCTAAATATTACTATTCAATGTCTTTTCGTAGTAAAACGTTTAGTGTCATTGATTACCAAAAATAGATTGATATGTCGTTAACATCACATTATACCGTTTACCTAAAAAGGAATCCAGGGACAATTTATATGGCAAATATTTTAAAGAATATCAACATACTTCTCTAGCATATTCATTTAGATACGGAGAACACATGTTTCCTACACACTATGATTTCCATTTAAAAAAACGTTTCTCAACAAGATCAGATCCCAGGCTTGCTAATCTAAGATCAAGGAGTACTTGGCCTTCCATAGGCTTTCCTTTAGGAGACTTATGGTGGCAGTAAAATAAGGCTACTTACGTAATGTGTAAAATACGAAAAACTTACTAGCGCACTCTATGTGATTTTCTCTACACAGCTGTCACACGGTTCGGCGGGAAAGTGTTGCCTGGCATTTGTTGCGTGAGCTTAAGGGTTTTCTGGAGCAATTGTAATTTTTGGGGTCGTATTGTGCGATTGCCTACGTTTGTTTAGTGCCACGATCGTTATTTACCATCTTATTTGCTGTCTTGGTTGGTTGGTTGGTCGGTTTGTTTGGTGGTTTGCTGCCTTGCTTGTCTTGGCTTTTTTTGGGTTTTGGCTGTGTATCTCTTGTCAGTACAAATTTGCGTAACGAACCACAGTTCTCTCGGACATATGTTTCTAACCAGTCAGTACCTCTTCATTTCAATTATTTGAATAAAATTTTGATATTAACTTGATATTAATGATCTGATATTAATAAAATTAAATGTACGAATGTTTTGTACGTTTTTTCATTAGATTTTCGGAGGTTCATCAAAACGAATTCAGGCTCTCGTGCTAATTGAGTAAAATGGACTACCTCCATATTTTTTATAAATATGGCGAGTCCACCACAGCCGCGCAGGAGGTCACACGCGCTGTGCCGATGCTTTATCGGCAGCGCTAGCCAGAGCACAAGGTTCACAGTTGTAGAAGAATTTATTTTAATAAATTACTCCATACACGGATTTCAGGGATTGATTCTACACAGACCTACAGACGAATGACGTATGACACATACAACGTTTGTCAAAACAACAGTTTAACATAATCACTTTATTGTATCCAAACCATGTAAATATTCAATTCTCTTTTAATAATTTTACAACACATATTTCCTCTGATATTTTGATGTTAGTTTATACAATTGAAAACCCGAAAAATTAAATATTAAGAGTTTTTTTTTTTAATTTTGGACTTAGAAGTAATTGGTGCCAAAAAATGAACCTTTCAACTTTTAAACTAATTTTACACTGAAGTGTTATCTTCTTGTTTCTTGAGGTGATTTTATACAATTGGAAACTAGTAAATAATCTGAAAGTAAAACACATTAAACAAAAAACAGTTCGATAGAAAAGAAACAGAACGACATTCGTTTCTCAACTTTAACACAACCCTCCGCCATCACATTTCCACATAAGTTATCCTAAGTAAATTCAATTTTCGTGGTGTCGTTAACAATTACAAATTGCTTTCTCCTTTCACAAAACTCTGATCAGGTGTGGCGAATACGTCCGTACAGCTCCCCAACTACTAACTTATCTTCCCATTACCAATGCTGACGTTGCTAACAGAATCTCGCCTCCTCTTTTTTCACTAAATTAACCAATACTCTTTTCTCAACAATTACTAATTTTGTAATACACTACAAATATCACTTTATAATTCACTGTAACTTCTCTCCGTCACTTCTACATTCTACTATAGTTCTACTTCTTTTATTCCACCTTTTCCCCCTTACCAAATATTTATTAAAAAATCCCTTTTTTACTGCACTTAGCATTGGCTACCTCCGCCACTACGTCCATTGAACGGAAGGAAAGATTCAGGTCACTTCCTAGCTACGTTATATTATTCTAACCCTCGCCAAGTTCTCACAGAACGCCATTCATGACCTGTGAAGTCGTAGGCTTCCGCGACCAGAGTCATGTGGGTGATCTGGGCTGTCCGGGTGACGCCGCGTCGAAGGCTGAGTTGGGTAACTTGCCGAATGTCTTGGTAAATTTGTATAATTCCTCCCCGTAGAGGGTAGTTAAATGAAGTCGTAGGCTTCCGCGACCACAGTCATGTGGGTGATCTGGGCTGTCCGGGTGACGCCGCGTCGAAGGCAGAGTTGACTCAGCCTTCGACGCGGCGTTACCCGGACAGCCCAGATCACCCATTCATGACCTGTGTTTTGGAGATTCGCGGAGCCCGGCCCAACTCCTGTCCCTAGCTTCCCTTTTTAAAATCGTTTTTTTCTGTCGTCGAAAACTCGATCCCCCTCCTCCATCTGGCATCGCTGATAAGCTGTGGCTTAAATTTTTACAAATAATTAACGACTCCAAAACTCTGATCCGTATTTATTCAACGATAGATCGCCCTCCCTTTCTAGAGTTTCAAATTTCCCTCATTAAATTACAACCCATAATAGACTTTGCCACTTCAGTGAAAACAAGAAAATACTATTGCAATTTCCTTTTGTATAAGGATAGTTGTTAATTACTGCAATACATATGTAATCAGCTTGATTATTTAGATATTTCACCGTGGTGAGTAGGTTCACTTTTACCATTTCAATTTGACTTATTCAAGAATGGACTTATACAACAGCGGAATTCTTGAATTGAATTAATGAGAAAATGTAAGTCTGGAAGTAAAATATAATGTCCAGAAGAAATTTCCATATGATTTTTTGCAAACGGCAGAATGACGACTTTGTGGGCCTAGTGCTCACATGATTTCGGAGTCGATTTGTTACGTTAAAAAATAAGACTTCAAAAATATTAAAAAACTAATAGAAAATTCAATTAATATTATAGTAAATGAATAAAATACTGATGGAATAACATTACAGGTTTTTGTATATTTACCATCACAACAAAATATATTTTAGGGTAGTGAATTACAAAAGATGACTATTTTTTAATCATTTCTTAAACTCACACGTTTGAACCAGTAAAAGGTAATTTCCATACATTGTAAAGGTACTTCTGTATTGCCTTCATTAAAGTGTTTCGTAAACCTTTGGCTACCCTTGACAGGTTCGACGAAGAATGGAAGTAGGGTGAGTGAGGGGAGGTTCCCGCCCTTTTCTCGCGCTCCCCCCCCTTCCCCCTCCATCGCTCATTCGATCAACACTCAGTCTTTGGAGGGAGGGAGTGCCGTTTACATGGAAAACGCCGAGGAACTGCAAGTAAGCGTCCCTTGATTGTCAGTGAAGTAGATGTTTCGAAATGTTTGTTATCGAGTGGTCTAATTTCAAATCTACAACCAACTACTTTTTCCATTCTGAGATTACCTATGTATTTTTTGTCGGAAAATACCTACCTATGCCGTGTTAGGCAAACGTACAGACGTGCGGTATCTTTATTTTTCGGGTCAAAATCATAAGAGTTATATGCAAACCCACATAAGTAATTTTTTTTTTAAAAAAAAGACATAAAACGGCAGTAATTTTAATTCTACAATGAAGGTTTTTCGTAACGTAGTAGCGTATATCAAAGCATTTGCAAAACAGATAAAACACAAGTTTCAAAACCGGTAAATTGCGTTACTTTCTTGCAAAGTTCGATGGGTTAGAAAGAAAAGTAAGATAGTACATCAAATAATCCTTCTACGATGCTCAGATTTGTTATTTTGTCTGTGTCTCACCAATGTTTAAATCCTAAAAAGTTCTGGAATATTGAGGCTGTTTTTGGCCTCGAACCTTTTCAAGAATGGTCTCAATCAGATATTGAATTTAGTGTTCGCCTTTTGTATAGATGTATCTGAATACGTTTACAGTACTCATAGAACTGATGAATCCAATTTAAATCGTATTGCATATTTTTTAAATAGTTTTTAACCAATAATATCAGGTTTTATTATTTTTTGTCGCCTATCTAACATAAATTTTTGGCTTTAAAATGCTTGTTCATGTGATCAGAGTGCTTTGTAATGGTAATGTAATTTCATGCAATACTGCACGTAAAATGTTTATTATCGTTAAAGATGTTATTTACTTGCCAAATATTTACAGCTCATCGCACCCTTAAAGTTCGTTTCTGGTTGTTTTCCTGAGCCATAAAAGTGTGGTCAGAGGAAGCCTCCAAAGAGGACACCGTGAAAGATTCAAATTTTGAAAACATTGGTGGTTACGAGAATCTAGTTCTATTTGTTTTTATCTTTGTTTCTGTTTAGAAAACATTCGAAAATACTTTGGTAAGATGTGTGGAAGTGTTCTAGATGCCTTATTATATCACCGTTTCTCGTAACAGCAGATAGAATACTTAAACGTTCATAGTTTTAGGAAACTACTTAGTTCATTTGCAGTGCCCCAATACTAAATAATATTTGTTCAAAACAAAACTGAATTATCACTTTGATTCATACGAGTTTTCACATACATGTGACTTAAAGCAAATTTACAATTCACCATAAATATTTAAACTAAATTCAACGTGCTTCGCAATATTTTCTTGTAAAAGTATGTAATTTTTCTAAAATTTAACTGCAATTACTAAATATTCATCTTTTATCGGATGGCTATGGCAGGTATAGAAAGCGATAAGTAATATATCCGAATTGTATTTCTGTATTCTCGTTGAATTTCTGAAGCCAGTAGGTTTATAGAAGCGTTGATATAAATTCCATCTTGTGAATGTGTTTTAATTTCTAATGTCAAATAAATGTCCCTCTTTCCAAGATATCAGGATAGCTATTAATGGCTGCTAATTAAAACTTCTTTACGTGTATTCGTTATTTTCAAAAATACTTTAGCCAGCAAATTAAAGAGCAAAACTAATGAATACTATTAATTTACAAATTGATAGGTGATAGTGATATAAATATTTTTATTTTAATCGATTTATGTAACGCAATTGTATACTTGAGTCAATGCGTATTGTTTTGCGATGTACATTTTCCTGTATCAATGGTCGGATAAAAAAAATGGGTATCACTTGAGATATAATCAATCATATTTTGAAATTAGATACTTTCTTTCAAAATACGGTAGTTGTTCGCATTCCAGGTCTTAAATTGAAATATGTTTAACGTAGATGATACATTGATAAATGATGTCACAAAAATATTTTTTTGAATGCATCTTACTCCAGAATAATCACTTCTCTATTTTTAACTGTTGACGGATATCCTTTTTTACGTGCAAAATTGAAACCGCGGGTAGAGATGACTGCGAACAAAATTTTAATGTAATTTTTTTAAGTTGTGTGCAACAGTAATAAAAACTGCCTTCGATTACCAACAAAAATACGCTGTGGCGCATATCATCAGGTGTCCGAAACAGCAGTTCTGCTAATTCGGGACGGGGCTATCACAATCCCATTTAAATATGTTCACGCAGCATTAAACAGAAAAGAGCAATCTATACCATTGTAAATATATTTACTGCTTCGTGCATCCGTTTGACAGTCGCTGGGGAGGGTTATGAGTAATTAACAAGTACACCATAATGGACTAGAAATGTTACTCTTTTTTTTCAGATTACACAATTTAACAAAATTTTAATACGATGCCTCAGATTTTCACATTGTTGTATTCATATGATTATTAAAAATACGGTAAATGCTATGTAAATGTTAGAAGCAAGAGTTGACGGATTTCTTATTTTATTCTTTTGGACCATGGTACGTAGAATGTTGTTTCTGATTTTAGATGTACATTTAAAATATAATATTTATTTTGCTACTTAGGAATATATGGAATATTTCCGGTGGTAGCATTTTCTAAGTACTTACTACAAATGCCCAACACAATCCAAGGAACATTACAATATATACATATTACTTAATACAATTTTACAAGATCAGTATATTAAATGTATCTCACTAAATCAGACATAAAATAAAAACAATAATTCCAAAAAATATTAACATATTCTAAAAACAATTACCATTTAGTTAATCTAATTTTGAAATTTTTGGCATTCCGAGGGAAGTCTCCAACACTTGCAGGCAAATCGTTCCAATTTTGTATTGTTCTGTTTACAAATGAGAATTTACCTACATGTGTTCTGTTTTCTTTGCCAAAATTTAGAACGATTATCTTTCCGCGCGACGTATGTGGGCGTTGAAATCTTGCCCGCACTTCCCCTCACGGACCATCACGGACAACGGACTCGTATTGATTTGAATAGCGCACGATGACGCAATTTTCCTCTGTTTTTCCAAATGTTCCCAAGATATAAATTCAGAATTAGAATGTCCTCTCGTAACAAATTTTGGGAATATCTTTGTACTTTTTCGAGAGGATTTATTTGCCCTAAACGATATGGATTTCAACATACGGAGCCAAATTTCAATATCGGCCGAACTACCGATGTGTACCCTAATTCCTTTGATTTTCTACTTCCTTTCCAAAGCACTTTTTTCACAAAATCTATTTTACTACATAATTTACGTGTTCTGCACACCCCAGATCCTATTTATTCTAATTTTTTTACAGCATATAAACCCATAACGTGACTTGGGTACAACACACCTGTTCGTTCACTGTAACTTATTTTGCTATTTATATAATTGAAGTAATTCATTCTCGCGTTGTGATAGGTTCCGCTTATGAGAACTAATTTTTTCCTTGAAATCACTGTACTTCAATGTCAGTGAAATTAGAAATGGGCTGCTTAGCACTGTTACTGTTCCCTTCCAAAATCTAAAATTATCAAAATTAATTTATAACCGATGAAGTACATTTTAGCTTGTTAAATGTAATTACCCTATGCCACGTCCTCGGTGTCGACAGGCCCCACTTAAGTTGACATAAGGTGAGAGTAAGTTGACATAAGGTGATTACAAGAGTTCACTGTTACAAATCAAGGGACGGCAAAGACTCGTAGAGAGGTACAAAAATATTAAAAACTGACTATTGGCAAAGTCAGATACGCATTTCACCAAAACCTAATTACTCAACGGCACTCACAGTGCTTGAATAAATGGATCAAAGTACAAAATTACTTCTCCATATATATTTCGTATTTATTATTTGGAAATCAGTAGTCTTTTTTTCGAAATTCTCTCTCCACCTTTCTCTCTCTCTCTCCACCTTTCTCTCTCTCTCTCCACCTTTCTCTCTCTCTGCCTTTTTTCTCTCTCTCTGCCTTTTTTCTCTCTCTCTACCTTTTTCTCTCTCTCTCTCTGCCTTTTTCTCTCTCTCTCTCTCTCTGCCTTTTTCTCTCTCTCTCTCTCTCTGCCTTTCTCTCTCTCTCTCTCTCTCTGCCTTTCTCTCTCTCTCTCTCTCTCTCTCCCCGTCTTTCTTTCCCAAAGTATCCTGCAAGTCTTGACCCCGGGGGAACCTTCGGCCCTCATCCCACCGTTTGATGTGCAGGCACAAACTACCTAGCTGGCCAAAAATGCCAACTGGGTATCAGAGCTTCCAACGCTACTGCTCATATGCCTGATATCTCCATATTCTCGTCTCCTCTTTTTCCGTCTATCTCTCTTTGTCTTTCTCATGCCCGTGGTCCTGTTTATTCTTTTCTTTTTGCAGAGGCTGCAGGGCGCTGTGCCGAGTGCTGGCGAATCGAGCCAGGCGATGGAAAACGAGACCACCCCTAGCCGCCCCGATCACCTCCAGCGCATGCCGCTGCAGGAGCAGCTGCGCGAGCAGTCTGCCCTCGTCCCAACTACAATGCCAGCCTTGCGCGACGACGTCTTGGCCCCGGCGGCTGCCGAGGCCCATGCGGCGCCATTGCCACCGCTGGACGCCCAGGTACCCCCGTACAAGTTCCGCCCAGTACCGCTGGACACCCAAGCCTTTCTCTTCAATACTCTTTATCTCTCTTCCTTTCCCTCTCTCGCTTTCTCCCTCCCTCCTTCTCTCGCTTTCTCCCTCCCTCCTTCTCTCGCTTTCTCCATCCCTGAACTTGGGAGCAAGAAAGAGGCAGCAATTGACCTCCTGAAATACCTACCCCTGAAAATTGCCTTCTTCCTCCTTGCGTTTGAAACCGAAGTAGGCGGAGCTTGTTGTAAGCACGAATCATAACACTCGCTTCCCCGGGAACTTTCTTAGGATCCAATTCTTCATATGTAAAAATGTGTATGAGATTGTGTAAAATAATTCAAATTGAATAGATAAGAAAATGGAATGGTACATTTTGGAAAGAAACTGTGAATTCATGGCAGCCCGAACTGCGAAGAATGTAAACTCATGAAAGTGGTAATGTCTGTTATTTTAAAATATATTTCCTTTGTTTAAATGGCAGGCCACAGACGAAGAAAGGAAAGAAGAAAACGGTAGTTTTGCATCAATTGTTATATACATTCATATTTAGGCAAGAAGACCTCTGGCTCCCCAGTATTCACATGTTCCAAAAATGTAAATACATTGTTTCACATGTTCCAAAAATGTAAATACATTGTTATAACATTCACAATTTCATTCTAACCAACAGGTGTGCCTTTAGAAGTGGATAGCATTAGCATGGAATATGCGAAAAAGTAATAATGTTATACGTAGGTAGAGTATTGACATACGTTGTATTTTTGGGCCATTGTAATTTAAGGAATATGAATTTGCGTATGTAGTTAAATAAGGTGCAAGTTAGCAATTCAAACATGTTTTTCAAATTCAATTATCCCAAGTTAAATCAATTCCTGGAAACATTCTTTTCCGTTCGGCACTGACACTCAAATGCTTTTTGACACTGCCCTCAGAATCCAAGTTAACTGTTTAACGCCATCTCTTATCACGGAAACTTCAGTTCTTGCAAATGGTGTAAATACGTAAGTACCGAGGTCATCTAACTGAAAATCTCTGAACACTCAAAAGGATCAGTCGTCTTTTCATCAACGAAGTCTCTACCACATATAGTTATATTATCCAAAATTTCGTTAACTTATTGTGTTCTATCGAATATGCCCTCTGCTTCCGAGTACCAAATATTATCACTATCGTTAAAACTAAAAGAGTTCGCAGCAAAGATGTTACAAGTAAAAGTTCAAATCTTATAACTGTTTGTAGAAAATCATATCAGGATACTATTACTGGCAATGAAAATGTAGAGTTTTATTGAATCTGGAATAACCGCTTGTATATTTTGGGTTTTAATTAAGAAAAACCCTAGCTGAATTTGACGATAAGAATGTAAAAGTTTCGAGGTTTCCTCTACGATACATTTTTCGTCATCCTTATTCATTCCCTCAGAATACTGCAACCACTTTGGTAAATCATAGATCATATTGCACATATAATATAAAAATTAAAAAGTATGTAATAACATTACAACTTTTCTCTGACGGGCGTGCTTTCGGCTTCTGTAATAGGTGTTCTATATTTGCATATAACCTGCTCTATGGTGTGTGAAGTATATTTCTTTATTTATATATTTTATTTTTTTACTCTCTCATGACAGACCTACGGAGTGACACGTAGTATTTAGACAGGCATGTATGTAATGCATCGATTTCGATTCGTACATCGATTTCGAGATTTAAACGGAAAAACTAGTTGTATGGTCTTCACTTTCGTAGAGCTGTTTTTGTTTTAGAATGTCCGTCCGTCGGTACGTCCGTCCGTCTGGTGAACTGTCCGTCCATCTGTGTCTGTGAACAACACTAGTGTCCAAACTATTCATAGAATTTTTGTCAAAATGAATTTTCCACTAACTATCTGGCCCGAATCGAGGCACTGCGATTATAAATATAATTCTTTAAATTTTGGAGATAATCTAGTAGAAGCCTTGGAGGGCATTTTGAAACATTTCTCCAAAAAGGCTACTAAGTTTTTCGGTTTTTTAAGGAACATGAGACCTGTGGCATTCTCTTAAACTCCCTTCACACTCTCCGATAACAAAGTTTAATCATAAGTGGAGATGTTTTTTTTGAAAATTTTGAAAAGTCTCAAGGGCTTGATGTAAAGTGCAACCCAAAATTTAAAAAATCTGTTTCAAATTCGAGAAGCCTCAACATCAGCGAGATCGATTGGAAAATATCAATTTCGAAGAAAATCGGCTGAACGGTTTAGCCGTTAGCTTTGTTCACGGACGGACGGGCGGACGTTTTGCCGTCAATATATTTTTCGGAGGAAGGAGCCTATTGTTAACGATGTATATAGCTCTTATTATTGATATTGCTTGTCCAGGAAGTGCTTGTCCTGTCAATCTCACAATAGTTCACATGACGATCTTGCAATGTCAGTTCACGCACAGCATCAATGGTTTTCGGAACCACTGAGTTTGGACGACCTTCGCGAAATTCGTCTTGGAGTGAATTACGACCACGATTGAATTCACCATACCATCGATAAACACTGGTCCTTGACGGTGCTTCATCGCCAAAAATTGAATGAAGTTCATCAATGCACAGTTGCTGAGTTATTCCACGTCGAAAGTTGCAAAAAATAATCGCACGAAAATGTTCACGACTTAATTCCATTTTGGGCCAAGATGAATCTTTTAAGTTACTGTAAACAACAGAAATAGCGCTCGTATGTCAAAACGTTCTGAGTACTTAAAACCTCAAAACATCCAACTTTACGATAGAGCTGTCAGTTCCCAGATTGCAACACCAGGGTTGCCAAATCCCGAAACATAAAATGCAACCTTCGTCATGTTGTGACCGCTTGCGTTAATGAGATTAAGGAGTTTGGAACCCTGATGTATAATCACATTGAAACCCCAGGCTCTGTATTTGCTATTTAAATCACCAGCAGTAAAAAAATTGAGGATATTGTGAAAAGAATTTGTCGTATTCTGTTGGAATCTTTTTCTTAGGTGGTTTATATGCTGCAATGAAAACTACGTCCGATATATTGTAACTAATGTTAATTGCTATTGCTTCTAAGTCTACTGAGTGGGTGCAGGTATGCTGAATGTCTTTTCGATCTGCTATTCCACCTGAGGCATTAATTGAGATCCGATCATTACGATATATTTTGAAATTGGATATCGAGAAACGTTCGCCTGGTATGAGGTGAGTTTATGTTCAACATGCAATTATTATTTTACGCTCGTTTAAAAAGTGCCGGAAGGAATTTCCTTGTCTCTTTATTCAATTTGCATTGAAGTTAGTTTATTTGGATCAATGATAGTAATTAGGAAGAATTTTTAAAATCATATTCATACACTTTTAAAAGATTGATTTTATTATAAATTTAATTATAAAATTTATTTTAAACAAACTTCTTCCAATGAAATTTTCAAAATAATCGGTAGACTAAAAAATGAATATTCGGCCGGTTTAGATGAATTTCCGGATTGATGGTTAAAACTTGTGCGCTGACCACCTGTTAACTTATTTAATGTTTGAAAGCATTAATACTTATTATTATTACATTTATTAATACATTATTAATTATTTTGAATGCCTGTAAGATCATCAGAATTGTCCTTAGTGCGGAAAGCTTTTTAAATTCTGAGCAGCTTCTGTAATTGTCGGTACGATCGCCTTCGAAATTAACACATTTAGAGGCGGTATTTTCATGTTTATTTTACATTGAGATTTATTTATTTTACATTGAGAATGGTGATGGTCTTTCGAGACATTTCACCCACCTATGAATGTTGTGGCAATTTGTCTTAGTATCCCCAAATCGCTGACAGAGCTTACGTTGAATAGCCTGGTTAGGTTTGTTTCTTAGTAGCACTCATCCAATAACAGAAAACTGCAGATTAATAATTTGCAACGAGTAACAATATTATAAACAATTCCGAAATCCTGCAATTTCCAACTGGCAATGTCCCCAAATTGCTTTGAGATGAATATTGCAATGTAACAATTTTTACAAGAGCTGCAAAATTGTTGCTAATACCTACTTTATTTGCTGCTAAAATACTATATATGAACTTGATCCTTGAATTTTCTTGTTTTTGTTTTGTATGGTTCCCTGGAAGTGGTCGATTCGAAAAATACAAGAGTTTGCAATTTTTGCAAATTTTATGAACATATGAACTACTGCAAACTTGCAATTACAATAGTTTTCTTAGCGATAAATTTATAGTATAATGGATATTTGATAAAGGTTCTGTATTATTTATAAACAATAATATTGAAAGTAAAGGTGTATGACAATCTAAAAGCTCTAAAAATTGGGTTATTTTTTTTCTCTACCAACGTAATTTCTTCAAAAAGAATTGATAACAGTGGTTAAAAGTTTGTTCTTAAATATATATATATATATATATATATATATATATATATATATATATATATATAAAATCTAGTTTCATATTCTGAGAAACAATATTTACAGTCCGTACAACCTTTGTTTTGATACCAAACATGCGGATTAGCTCAAATGTATATGATACCTCTGCCTTTGAAAATCATCAGTCCCTCCGGACGTTTCCTCGGGCGGCAGCGGCGGCGACGGCAGGATTCGGCTCACCTCGGAGCCCGTCGGCGACCAGCCTCTCCAGCTCTACGCGACGGTTGATGACTTCGCCTGGACGCCGTCCCAGCCGTTATGAGGATGACACACAGATATGGGACCGAATGGCGCAAGGTCAATGTCCATTCGACTTCCTGCTCCTTTCGGTTATCCTTCTCAGCTTCGCAATAAATCCGTTCGGCACTGTTCCCTAATATGTTTATTTAAGCACGGATTCACTGCACTAACCAAAACCGGCCACGCGGTTCACGATTTTCAATTATCTCTCTGTTTCAACGCCCAATCTGAATTCCACCAACCGTCCAACTGCTGACAAATCCTAAATACACTTGATTCTATCATCGAACTTCATTTACTCTCACTGCACTGAAAAAACGGCTTATTAATCATCGGGCGCATCACAGCCTCATCCGTACCTCGTCAATCGCCTCCTCGCACTGCCGACCGTCGCTCGCCTCACCGATTCCCCCGATTTTTCCGTTGGTGGCGGCGGCGGTGTTACTGCGCTGATCAAAATGTGTTTTGTTCTAATTTAGAATGTATCGCTTGGTATTTCCAAACACAGAAACGCTCTTCGTTTATATATATATATATATATATATATATATATATATATATATATATATGTGTGTATGTATTCTGTATGTTCATAAGAGTTTCATTCTATGTATTTTAGTTTGGAAATATTTCCACATCTGAACTAGTGACGTCCGCCATTTTCTACGACGTAATATTTCTAAGCCACTTCTCCCCCGTTTGAGATTGGTTGCGGCTGTTCGTGAGGCTCCGCCTGAAACGTTTCGTCAAAATTGCTGCCCAAGCCGTGGAAAATCTGAATGGATCCGGATATGATGTGGTTAATTTATGTTGCCAGAGCTGTTGGGCATAGGACTGTCGCGAGACTGTCCTTTGCATCTGCAACTGTTGTGAATCCACAGGCGGCGAGGACAGATGACCTTGGCGAATCCATTCGCCAGACAATGAATCTCAGCCGCCTGGAGGCGTGGCTGGGGGAGATGGACGGGCACGTGCGACGGGCACTTGGCGACGCCTTGGACGAGGAGTTGTTCAGCATGTTGGACGATGCGTTGAAGTCATTGGAACAGCGGCTGAAGACGCGGCTGGAATCTGCGCTTGCCGCCACCGACAAGCGGCTAGAAAGTCGTCTGCGCGACCTCATCTACGCCCAACGGCGGAAAGGTGAGCTTTCGTCTTCCTTCCTCCCACGGTACGTAAAATATTCTAAAGCGGCCCAAAACATTTTTAAAAAGTAGTTTAAAATTTCACTATCAAAGCTTGGCAAAGAATACTTCGGCAGTGATAAAAGGGTTTGTGTAGTGAACACTTTTATGGAAGCCTTGTGAACACCAAGCGAAGTACACATTTTTAAATTTATTGCTTGTGTTGCCTAATGCCCGTAACTTGTACCGTACAATAGTTTACAATATATTAATTCAATGATATCAGGATTATAAAACTATAAAAGTTTTAAAAATAACAGAAATTGATGTAATCTGTGTTGGTCAGGTTTTGTCAGAACGGAAGTATCATAAGTTCCCTTACGTAGAAGTAACGTGTGACACGATCTCAAACGTAGTCTCGCAAAAAAATTGCTCTTTTTCTAATGAAGTAATGTTTCTACGCAGTGCGAGAAGAATCTGCGCGAGAAGACATTCCCACTCGCCAGAGATCTCCACCAGCCTCTCTCGGCTCCATCACCATCCACATTCCTTCGCCAACCAATCCTGCCCCCATCACCATGCACATTCCCGCCCTAAACCTCCCTTCAATCTCTGCCACCGGCGCCGCTTCTGCCACCGGCGCCGCTACTGCCACCGGCGCCGCTTCTGCCACCGGCGCCGCTACTGCCACCGGCGCCGCTTCTGCCACCGGCGCCGCTACTCTCAGAACCCCTCCCAGTACAGCACGCCTGTCACCGCTCTGCTCTTCTTCCACTTCCGCCGCCGCCCCCGGCGCCTTCTCCTCGGATCCTGAGGGCCTGGGCGAGGGAAGTGAGAACGTGGCGATGGTTGTGGATATGATTGCGGCAGCGGAGCGTGGCGACCTGGGAATGCTCCTGGAATGCCTGGCGAACGGCGTCCACATCGACGCGATGGACTCCCGAGGCCACACGGCGCTGCATGGCGCCGCGGGGAACGGCAGGTACTTCGCGCTTAGTTCTTACTTGGCTCTCCGGGAGACATCGCGTCCAGGGCACAGGCGCCAACGTCGCGGTCGCCATTCCGCGACCTTCATCAGGGAGTAGTTATTGGGCGGAGATGGACTGCGCACGGGTTTATGTAGATTCTCTCCTCCTGTATGCTAATTGATCGGATGATAACCAATGTGGCGAGTGCAACGGCCAATCAGGGAGCGGGCTCCCCGGGCGCGGTGGAAGAAGCCGCTCCGCGCGTGATCGGACGGCATGGAGCAGCGGGCACCGTGCCCGGTTTCGACCGGGCGTCGTGGTAAAATAGACGCTTCCAGACATCGAGGAGTCGTAGGCCTTGATCAGTATTGATATTTTGGGTATTTTTAATAATTTCTATTGCCTCTTTAACTCTTCTCGTTCCCCAGCTGACGTCTCTGGCTAGAAGGCGGGTGTCATCAAATAAAATGGCGTGGCCAGTTTTCCATACGCGGAGGGCTACGGCCGATTTATCTGAATTATTGTGCTTTTTAATGGAGAATGTGTTTCCGGAGGCGTTCCTCTGCGGTCCGTCCCGTCTTGCCAATGTAACTGTGGCCACAACTGCATGGGATCTCGTATGTATACCCCTGATGACACGAGAGGAGATACGCGATCTTTCACCTCGCTTTGTAGGATGTCTGTACGTCGAAGCGGCTCAAAGCTTGCCAATTGTATCAGCGACTCCTCGTATATACGGTGGAATGGCCGTCCTGCGGTTGGAATCACCACTGGGTGTGGTAATGTTGGCAGTACTAGAAGTGGTCGTTGTATGCCGTACAGCTTGGTTGGCGGCGTTGGCACTGTATCCATTAGTTCGAATATATATATATATATATATATATATATATATATATATATATATATATATATATATATATATAATATTTCGCACTTATGTGCATGGTTACGCTCACACCCACGTTGGGATGTTTCCAATGCCATTCAGAGAGAGAACGCCGCGCAGGCATACATACCTGGATAGGAAAGTACTTCCATGCGAACATGTAGGCCGAAGCTGATTCTCTCATTCCGCCAGGGGGAAAACCGCCCTGGATATAACATCCACTGCCCTTGAGAGAATGATAATAATGGCAATTTTCGCTTTCTGGAATACATAATAACTGAAATGCATGTTCTGAAAGTACATAAATGCCTTTGACGTATTGACCAATGTCTAAATCTTGCATGCTCTCCTCTATCTCTGTAGCTGTGTCATACGTCTTCTTGCAATCGATCCAGACAACTAGTTCATCGGCATTTCGCATTTTGTCACCTTGTCAATGGTCAACGCATCTTCTCTTCCTCGGGATCATATGCGATTTTTAGTTTGTTCTTATTTAACATTAAAACAAAGATTGGCGATGAAACTAAAGTATAGTGTGACGTCATGGATACTCACAGCGACCACAGACACAGAGCTTTCATATAACAAATATATTTATTAACAAGAAAACAAAACAAATATATACACTTAATAATCTACTTACACCCTAGCTCTGATAGACCTACTATCCCCTGATCGCGGGAGCGATCCTAACCCGATTGAAGATGGTTTTGATTGTGGCATTCGCCACTCCTACTTTTGAAGCGCGCACAAAGCCTAGCTTCCGTGACCGGATGTCACGCTGGGACACAGTCCGTTCTGGCGCACCAACGGCTGGTTTGCCTCGATCGCAGGAGCGATCTTATCCGATTGAGAATCGGCGTGAATCGTGGCACTCAACCACTCTTCTCCTCGGAGCACGCACACAGCATCGCTCCCCCGTGACCTCAGTCACCCAAGGACCTAAAGTCCGCAGGCTTCGTCAACTAGTGACTCGAGCCTCGCGAGCCTGGCTCGCATATGCACAGTCGTGGCGCCAAGTTTTGTGCACACGCACGAGGTTCTCCCACTGTCTCCAGAACCCACCTACTGGCTCTGCACACTCTGTTATATAGGCGAGGCCCACGTGACCTACTACGTCACGCCACCGCCCCCGCTTGTTATAACAGCGAAGGGTTTCTATAAGCCGGAAGACGCCAAATCCTTGTCTCCCGTTTCCGCGTTCTTGCCTTTACGGAAAAACCCTTCTTCCTGTGGCGAGGCTAATTCTCTACCAAGCGTCTCCAAATAGATGCCACGAGGCACGCTGGCTACTACGTTACAATAGTATATTCAGTCAAAAAATAAACTTCTACGCATCGTTATACCCAATTTTCTATATCCTGTATATGATAGCAGACGTTTTTATTAATATATAAATCTTCAATTATTCACGAAGAAATATTTCATTTCTCAGTTTGCAATTGAAATAAAGTACCCATTTATGTGAAATTCGTCACATTATCTTCATACATGAACGATTGAAAATCAGAACGGTATGTAACATTTTATAAATATTTTAGGTTACTTATTTACTTTAGGTTATACTTCAGTGACAATGTATATTCATGGTTTTAATGCAAATTTTCGTGGTTCAAATGCCATTGTTTTAATGATGAGTGCACCACGACGTTAGTTTTTTGTCAGTGTGAGACTGAATGCGTTTGAAAGAGGGAGAGTCCCGACTCAGGAATTTTAATCCTACATGAGAACCGTAGGATTAAAATGACAGCTGAATTTGTAGTGGTGTGCGACGGCTATGTATTCATGATCTCAGGGATTCAAATTTTTCTCCACGACTGTCTTCGTTTAATATTCTAATCCTTTACCAGAAACAGGTTTAAATTTCAAATGTACTTTCGACCGCTGCGCAGGTTGGAGGTGTTGGAGTACCTGGTGGGCGCCGGCGCCAACATCGAAACGCGCAACTTGCAGGGCGCCACTCCACTTCATTCAGCCGCATCCTCCGACAAGTCGGGCAGTTGCTCGGCCTCGCTCTTGAATGCGGGAGCGCGCTTCGACGTCGTGGATGTGGAAGGATGGACTCCGTTGCACACCGCCGCCGCCTTCGCCAACAGAGTCGCGATGCAACACCTCCAGAACGCGGGAGCGGACCTACATGCCCGGGACGTGAATGGCTTCACGCCAGCCGACCTGGCTAAAGGCGCTTTGGTGAAGCTGCTCGGCCCTTGAGCCTAGCCCACCACGGGCGCCATGCGCAGCCAACGGGCCGCTGCGCCCCGCTCCGACACCGTGCCGCCGGCGCCATGCGCAGAGCTTCGGCAACTGCGCCCCGCCCCGACACCGTGCCGCCGGCGCCATGCGCAGCTTGCTCGGCATAGAACTCACCTTGGTCCACCGTTGAGGTTCCCTCCATTCCACTTTCTTTGCCACTGACATTTTAGTAATTCTTAAACTTTTAAAAATATGCTACGTGGACTACACTGAATTTAATGTTTTTGCGCCTACCTCAAATATTCAATTTTTTAATGATCGAAATTCTTCTATGCTAAATACGAAGGTTTTCACATTTTAATACGAGACGAAAAATTTTCTTCGATGTTTTCTGAAGATTTGTATCTACAATAGAAGTTAAAACACACAAGTATTGTAAAATAAGAAATTGATGAACAGTAATATTAGTGTCATTCATTTATACTTATATTAACAAGTAACTATTAATAACTAGTAGGTTGCAACTTAGTATTAATGATTAAAAATCACTTCTCACATTTTATAATAAATATTTTGTTTTTGTCTGAATTTGAGTTGGTATTTTCTTACTGTACCTATATCTTCAGTTTCTCCTCTATTCCCATTATTGTACTGTGCTACATAAAGATGGGTACTTTGCTGAAAACTATAAAAGGCTCAGAACCGAAATTTACGCTTGTCATGTCGTATGAATCCAGTGTAAGTTTATTAAACAATATATCATTGAAGTTTTTCACATAACTGTTGAATTCTTATACCTTACATTTTTATAACCATAATAAATTGCGTCGTAACAATGTTTTCGTCATTGCGAGTACTTTTTTTTGTTGTTGAAAATTAAATTGTTTTCATTCAGAATATATGTTATACGCATCGCGATTTTCCTGGTTGAGTGACAGACTAGGAACTTCGGGGTCTAACGGCGCCGAGACCAATTGCCCTTTACGGGACATATAACAGGACATGAAACAAACCCTCCTGCCACTTGTCGAGGCAACCGTGGGTGTATCTACACCAAGCAGAGGGAGATTCTCCTTTTCCCCGCCAGAGCCAAACTTTGGAGGTACTTTACATAAAGACCCCGGACATTTGCAAAATTTTCTCAAAAACAGCTTCAAATTTTTTTTTAATTTAAAATTCTTGTAAAAATAGAGTAAAATATACTTATAAAGGTAGTACAGATCCGATTTTTAGGGATAACTATATTTTTTTAATTTAAATATTTTGAAACTTTTCGAGCGTCTACCTACAACTACAAAAATAAAGACAGATGTTTCCTTTAAAATTTGTTCTCCATAATAAGTTCTTTCATTAAGATTATGTGCATTTTTTAAAGATTGTAATACATTTTGCGCAATATTGCGTGCAATTTGTGCAAATTAAAAAAATACAAAAACAAGATTTTCTCAATTTTTTCTTTAAACTTTGGTAGCGATAGTGCTAAGTGCTATTAGATGACATATAGATTAGTTTGCGCTATTCTTTTGTTTTTCAATAATTACAAAATTGTATTTTTTTAAGATATCTCACGCCGTTAATATGTACATTTCCAACAATTTGTAAACATTATTGTAATTGTGAGTTAAAGTACTTCAAATGACTTGTAATGAAGCTTTCCGAAAATAATTTTCTGAGAAAACGAGCTTCAAATTTCGAATTTACAGTAGCGCTTAAATACCATTTTCTTAAAAACGGCTCCAAATTATTCTAGGAAAATTGCCATTTAGGACGAGGTTTTACTGTTCTTTAAAAATATTAAAATAAAATTTCCGTTCTGCTATTAGGAAAACGAAAATATAAGAAAATTTCAAGAATTGTATTTAAGACGGCGATAGATGGCAGCCGGCAAGAGTATGTGGCAAGTCTGAATAGCTAGCTGAGACCAAAGAAATAAAAAACTATACAAGAGTCTGTGCCAATGTTTTGCACCACTAGCTGGTTATTGGATACGAATTTCGAATGCCGTGACAATCTCTTTAGTTGTTCTTTTAAGGTCGTATTAACATCTAGATCATTAGCGACCCCTACTGCATTTAGCGGTATAACTGTGAATATATAATGATGATGGGGGTGAAAGGACGAACACAAATACACGAATGCCCGAAGCGGGACTCGATCCCGCAATCCTTCGGTCTGAAATCGCTACGATTTCGGCCACCGGAACTTCGCTGTCTAGATCTTGTTTACAAATTCCGTTTTAATTCTAAGCGTATGAATAGCATTTATTTTCATCGATAGACGTGTCAACAGAAAATAAATTATAAATTTCATTTCATTGCTTCAGTGCGGTAAGTCATTTGCGTATAATTGCTTTTGACATAATTATTCCTATTTTGCATGATTAGTAAGTACAATTATTTGTTAGCAAAATCCTCACCGCAAAAGGTTAAAAAGAAAGTTACCGAGAGAGTTTTTCGGTCTCCCACAGACATAAACCGATGAGTCTTTTTCTCATTATAAAGTACTGTATCTAACTAAATTTCTGTTTATAATGTCTCAAGATTCTTGTATATAAATCATATTAATGTATTTATCTTATGCGCCTGCAGAGGGCTAATGTCCAAGCTAGAATAAATTTTAAAAACGGTAAAAATTGGTGCTAGTCGTATTTTGAAAAATAAAGATTTTTTGCCTTGTAAACAATCTGTTCAAAAAAATCAGCTCCTTAAAAAGAACATTTAAAAAAAACAGTAGTTTTACTGCTTGAAATGTATGCAATTTCTAAAAAACTATTTTGTCAAAAACCGCACAAAATTTGTTTTTTTAATTTTTTTCCTGGAAGTTATCAAAGCACATTAAAAATTGTAGTAGTCCCATTTGTCCCTTCTTATTTTCAAAAGTTGCAAAAACTTAAAAATCCGGTACTACACAATTGAAATTAGAAATTTTGGTTATAGACAAAATCTGTTCAAAAAATCATCTTTAAATTAAGTCATCTTCGTTTTTTAAAGAATAGTTTTTACATAATTTGCTGTTGAAATTAATCTTCTTTATGTGCCGCCGTCTCTTAGAAGGTTGACTGTCATCATGGCAACACTCGGTCTTGTTTTTGCTACTCTAAACAATTCTGCAGCTGAACAGCTGTATCATGACCTCAAATTGTCCAATAAGGATGTACGTCTTCTTCGTCTTGCTCTTTTACTACAAATCTTCCCTCAAAATTAATGCAAGTTATAAAAAGAACTTTTCTGAAAAACTGCTTAAATTTTTCTTATCTTTTTTCTACGTAGTATGCCTAAAAGTATGATGTACTAGGTCTGATTGTATTGATCTCTCTCAAATTTAGAAAATTGTGTTTTGAAAAATTGGGTTGAAAAAATTAGGTTATTAAATGTCGCCCCGAGTTCGAACGTCTGGCTGTTTCCTGGCTGATGTAGAGGTAATAATTTCACACGTCCAATTCTTAATCGAGAAAGAAAAATGTATTATTTGCGGTTACAGATCAGAGGAATGATATTCATGGATATAATTTCTGCTCAGCGAAAACTGCTCGGAATCCAAAGCAAATAGTAATGTGAAATAATGAATTTCGCGAGTGAATTTCCGGTATTTTTATCCGGAATCTTTATGGAAACTGGGATGTTCATACACAAATAATTTTACGTTTTCTGTTGCTGATTTATTGATTATACAAATTGTCCTCTTCAATGCATAATTTCCCATGTATTTTAGATAAATTACTTTCTCTATAATTCAAAATTCTCTCTTCTCATGAGCAGCAAAGAAATGAATGCCCTCGTTCCCGTCACTCGTGCTTTGCTGTCGTCCTTTCAATCATCGCGACGATTCCGCAGTCGATTCGTTACGAAAAAGGATAAGACTTCAAAATACGAATAACTGTACTAAATTAATGAACAAAACTGTTGTAATTTACGAAATAAATTATTTTTTACTTATTTCATAACTTCATTCACACATTTGAACCCGTAAAAATTAAACTATTCGGTTAAGTGGAGTTCTCGTTTTGTCGTCATTACAACGGATAACGTAAAGGTATTATTCTGTATTACCTTCAGTAAACGTGTTCCGAAAGAGTTTGGCTACCCTGGCAAGGATGCTGAAGAATGGAAGAGGGGTGCGTCAGGGGAGGTTCCGCCATTGCTCACACCAGCCCC